CTACAGTAGAGCAGGAAATACTTCAGCTATGTAAAACACAGTAAATGACGTGAACATTTTAGCATAGATTATTATCACGGCATTTTTTTGCCTTTATTTAATTACACACAGGGGCATGACGTGCAACAAAGGTCCCCAGCTGGAATCGAACCATGGATACTGCAGTTATGTGGCATGCACCATGTTGAACATGCATTCAACAGTCATACAGGAAGTAATGTATCACCAAGAAAGGAAAGTTGATGATTTTCTCTTGCCTTTTTTTATTTCAACTGAAAAGTCTGTAGCCCTGCGATGGATTGGCGACCTGTCCAGAGTGTACCCCGCCTTCGCCCAATTGCCGGCCGGGATTGGCTCCGGCCCCACCCGTGACCCCGTTCAGCGACTAAGTGGTAGAAAATGAATGAATGAATGAATGAATGCATGAATGAAAAGTCTGTGGCACTTCTGCTCCCATAAATTAAATCCATATACTACTAATTTGTTTTGTCACTTGTGTTTCATTAGAAAATGTAATTGCTGCCTGGACTATGTTCATTGGGAATGTTTTTTTTCCCAGTGGTTGTAGGTTGAAGGTGGTTGGCATCCAACGCACATGAATTTGACACCAGAGACGAGTTCACATCCTGAGGCTTCTAAACACACTGGCTAAGTTGAAGAAGAGTTTAGCATTTGACTAAGCTGATGAGCTTTTGCTAAATTTAACCAGCTGCTTTGAGCAGCTAAACTTTAGCTGCTATAAGCAGATATTGTGTTACAAGAACAAATGTTGATGGGAAGTCAGATATGTTCAGTAGTTGCAGATCAGTTCAGATGGAACATTTTGTGATTTTGCAGATGTATTTAATAATGTTTCCTTATTTGTTTTACTCAAAACATATTGTGTGTTGAGACAGGGTTGAATTTTTGTCATGGAAAATGTAGATGACATTATAATATGTCAAGGTATTTACAGCAGGCACAGTATAAAATCTCAAGTTTTCTTTGGTTTAGTTCTTGTTACTGCAGCAGTTTTCTCTTGGTTTTTCTCGACAGGGAAATGTTTGGATTCCCCGCACATACCATGTTATCATTTTCTTCACATCCATGTAAAACCCAGCTGCTTAGTTTGTTTGTGAATTGTCAAAAGGAGCTCTGGAAAATGTGGGAAACTAGCCGACTCCACAGTAAGCAAGACATAATGTTAAGTGAACTTTTGAGGTGATGTAGGCCTATTTTTAAACTTTGGGCAGAGCTGGTTTGACTAGCGAGCTAACAGAGAGGAAATCTGTGGAGTGCTCCTGCAAATGTGGTTGATTAATAGATTGACAGAAGGACTGACTGTTATTTAACACTGGATGTATGGACAAACTGGCTGTCCTCTACTTCTTCTCCTGTGTGCCTTAACCTCCTACACGTGTGTGAGGCTTGCCAAGCTTTAGAAAAATATTCCAATCTGTGGAGACCTAAATTTCATTTTAACACCTCACTCTCTTTCTGCCACACATACTTTAAATGGACTCCCTGGTTTCGGAGAAGTCACAGCTCTCATGCTGTCCGTGTTTTGTTTTTTTCTGTGCTGCCTTGCCACAATGCGATGACACAAATATGTTAACAACTGTAGTCTGTGTTACAGTGCAACAGTCTGACTCATTCAGACTTTGAAATGACAGGTGTTTTACCCGTGTTTTTCCTGAAAGAATCAGTATCTTTGCAGGACTTTTTGTACACATTATCGCTTCTGCTGTTTATTTGTGCCCTCTTGCTGTTATTTCTTTTGTTTGACGGCAAGTCGTTAATTTACTATTGATTTGTGATGTATTTACTGACTAGAAAACACATTGCAACTTTTGTAAGCTTTTGAAAAGAGTAACACAAACAAAAATGATTATTCTCAGAGTAATTTTATCATTGTGTCTACATGTCAGAGCCGTACTGCTGGAACTAGTTTAAAGTCACCCCTCCCACAGTGAAATCTCTTTTCCACATACATATGATACATGGTTATTAGATTACAGTTCCCTTGATTTCCTCATTTTCTCCTGCAAAACATTCGTAGCAAAAATCAGGTTGAGCATGGCAGGCAGGCTGCTCGTTGTCCTATAGAAAACTATTTGTCATGACCCAAGTAAAGGCATTAAATCAGTCTTGTTCTATATGTGAGTTACACACAGAATGTTTCTTGTCAGGACTTCCAGTGAGAACTGTCCCTCTGACATACAGTAGGCCATAGAAGAAGCTCAGTGTTAAGGTTTAGTCCCCCTCCCCAGGAGGGTGAGGGAGAACTGGGGTTGGACTCAAGATGGCTGACCCAGGTGCTAGTACAAAAAAGGAGGTTTAATGGAATAAAAACAACATGACAACATAACAGGGTTCATAATACATACAACAAGGGAAGGGCAGTGATGACTAAGGAGACCAGGACGGTAAACACACAAACTAACGACAGGAACTAGGATAGCAGAGGATGAAAACGGACAGGTGAACAAAAAAGAACCAACGTAAACAATGTAATCCACAGCACAGGGACTGTCGGCGTGGAAGACAAAGCACTTATTTCTGTATTGCTAACCGCATAATTAGCGTGATAAGGTCAAGCCAAAACGCACAGAGACTGTCAGCGTAGAATATTATACACGTCTTATATATATATATAAATAAATAAAAAAAACTGCGGGTCAAACATAACCTTTATCTTACTTTGGGTAAGTATTGTCCGTTACATATCGCAATGCTGCGGACCTGACACTCAGCCTGACAGGTTAAATACTGCAATCGTGTCATGCTGGATTTACTGTAGATACGATTATGATTTCAAAGAAGCATAGAGTTGCCTATATGTGTGTTCTGTACTGTCCACACACTGTGAGTCAGATTACAGGAAAGTAAAACAGTATAATGTGAGGATATGCTTGAAACTTTGCGTGACTTGTTGTCTGACCCCATCCTGTGATCCGACATCAGGAAGGCGTAGAGAACGGGGGGTTCTAAAGCTAGTCAGACAGTTAAGATGGCGTACGCCTTTACAGAAGCTCTACTTACTGTAGAAAAACTAATTCACTAGCAGGGGCCTGTCCTCAGGGAAGAACATATGCTTATGCACTTTGTGGTTTGGGGGGA